GACTCCTGAGGAAAAATTATGTAGCTAATTATTTATTAAATATTCACGATGCCCTCTGAGTGGAAGGGAGGGTGACAATTAAAGAACTCAGAGCGAATGCTGCATTACTTTACTGCATTCATAACTGCTAGTCAGCAGATGTTTTTTTTTTACTAGAAGTAAAAAGTCTTGATTTGTCTAGAAAACACTGCTTTGATACAATCTGTATAGTAAAAAGCGCTATATAAATAAAGGTGACTTGACTTGAAAAATACATTTGCAGCGATACTGCTAATGTCATGATACCACACACAGGGAACAGAAGATCCAACAGCAGTATCTTTAGTCAAGGGTAATCCGTACTCACAACAGTCCAGGCAAGGGTCAAAATCGAAATAAGCAACCCATACAAGAAAAACAGAACAAAACTGGCAAGAACACAGGACTCAGAAATGGTATGATGAATAACAAGGACTCCGTAACAAACACTAAACAGGCAGGGTATTTATGCAGGGACCACAATTATGTTACTATGTTAGTGTGGGGCTATTTTGAGCCTTGCTAGTGGTATTAAATAGTAATTATTATTTTTATTTACTATGGCATGCCCTGTTTTTTTTTAGAGAAAAAAACTATTTATATTCAATTATCATGAAAACAAATCTTAGAGAATTTGAGCTTCCATGCATATTACTCATTTGAACGTTGTTGCTGTTCACGGTCAGGGACTATTTTTTTCCTAGCGGAAGGAAGGCTTTTAGTGATTTTACTACATGTAAGTTGCTCTAATACATTTTTATTTTATTTTATTTTTTACTTTTTTATTGTGTGGTAACTGTTTTATAAAAGCAATAAGGTACCCGAGGCAAGTGCTCTATCGTGAATAAGTAACTGCTGAAGGGCGTTGTTAGGCATGACGCGAAGCCTTGTAACTTATTGTTTAGGCTACATATAGCCCCTTTATCACACTTAATATTTTGATTATTATGAGCCTTTATTTATATATTTTCAGTTTTCATTTTAAATTTAATTTAGGTTTCAGTACTGTCATGTGCTTTTGCCATTTTTATTACTTTTTGTATTTATCATTTACTTATTTTTATATTTTGATGAGCCTTTATTTATATATTTTCAGTTTAAATTTAAAATTTAGTTTAAGTTTCAGTGCTGTCATGTTCTTTTGTCATGTTTATTAGTTTTTTGTATTTATCATTTACTCATTTTTAATTTCAACTTTAGCACATAACTTATTTCAGTTAGTTGCCAAGACAACATGTCTAATTTTCATTTAATTTATCCTAAAAAAATTTCATCTTATCTATATATTGTATTTTATCTTTTATTTAATTTTCAATTAATGAAAATAATCTTAAATACAAAAAGGGCATCTGCAACATAATTTTTAACCAAATGACAGAATGTAACATCATAGCAAGGCTATTTGCAATGAAATGCCTTTGCATGGTCACATCTTACCACTGCATTTGAGAGGGTTCCCACAATGGCACAACACTTTCTATGGTCTTATTACCATCAGAAAGATGTTTTTGCAGCAGGACCAGAGATGGCCCACTTACAGCCAGCTTAAGAGGAGGAAGAGCTGCATCCTTGCATTAAACATGCTCATCATAAACCATCGTACTTCAGAGCCACTCACACAGACATCAGACTCCTGCAGAGAGCATAATGTATGCGCGTAGAAACATTCATACATAAACACACACACCTCAAAGCAGACACGTGAGCATTAATAAACAGGAGGGAAGAAACAAACATCACAGGGAGTGTGTTATGACTCTTGGGAACAACAAGAGGCTGAGAGGTCAATAATCCACTTTACAATCTAATACAATAACTCTGAGCTGCATTCAAAGGACACTGACCACTCAATGCTTTCAGTTTACAATTTCCCTGACAGAGTGTTAGCAAACTTGACTATTTAATCAAAAATCCCATATTTTGATCTACACAGTACTTTTGGTGTGTGCTACTCTGATTATCTTAAATAAGAATGTAGGCCTATATACTTTGTCAAAAATAGAAACAAAACAGACGAAAGTACTAAACATTATGGCTTATTATCATTATACTGTTCAAAATCAAGGAAAGGGATCTTCACATGCACAACCATTACAAAAATATTTTTATTTGAAATTTTGAACAAAAATTACTATTTTATTCAGCGAGGATGCATCAAATTAATCTAAATGTTTATTAATTTAAATGGCTAATTTCTAATTCAAATAAATTCAGCTGTGCCAACACAGCAATAAACTACATTTTAAAATATAATATAATATAATATAATATAAAAGAGTAATTTTACATTGCAATAATATTCCACACTACTGTTATTAAGTGTATTTTTTAAACAAATAATTGCAGCCTTGGTATATATTTCCATGTAATAACTTCTTTAAAGAACATAAAAAATCATACTGGCTCCAAATTATTTAGAAATGTAGTGTACTTTTACACATCAGCTAATTATTACAGGAATATTTCGCCTATGACACTTGTCAGCGCTTTATCAGGACTGTTGTCCTTTTTAAACAAATTGTTGCCCTTATAAAGGCCTGGTGTTATAATGCTGACAGCCACAGGCAGATCCTCGGGTATCTTCATGAACTCTTCATGACCTGTCATAACTGCCCCATCAAGTTCTATAATATTAAAGAATTGATACTATAAGTTGTATTAGTATTAAAATTTAAGTTTCGATAACTTAACATTTACCCTGCATTCTTATTATTTTAAACACCTTTTAACACTTTCAGATTGAGAAATAAAAAATATAGTAAAAGACTAAATACAGTTAAGAACAGAATAAACAAATATTCAAAACAGAACACAAAAAGCAGGTTCTGGGCTGGATAAAGGAAGAGACATCATTGTGTCAAGGGCTGTATTTACAGGCCAGTATCATCGATCAGACACAGATGCGTCACGTGTTCTCAATTAGACTAAATATCATTCATCACAGAATACAGCATCAACCTGCTCCCAGTCTTACCCAGTGCTAGTGGTCAAGGGTTAACTGCAGCATCTCCACACACACACACACACACACATACACACACACACACTGCAGTTAGGTCAGAGAATGTTGGTACATTCCAGATAATTCATTGCTTCCTCCAGCTGTATGCCAGTACAAATGGAATGACAACAATAAAAGACAATAGTAATAATGCAGATTAAATATTCACTTAACATCCCATAACAGACACACAACTAGAAAAGACAACAATATGGTGCAGACAAGCAACCTATATTTAAAAAGTCATTGACCTAATTTTAACTAATGATGTTTCCTTTTTAATGCTAATATGTTAAAAAAATAATTAGAGATTAGATCGTATTTTAAGTTTATTTTTTTCTTCATATACAAATTCTATAAATGCATAAAACTATTTATTGTTGTTAAGACTGTGTATTAATACGTCTTTTCATATTTTACGAGGTCTTTAGAAACCCCATATATAGGCTACAGGTCAAAAATTAGGAAGTTGATCCTCCAATCAAAGGCCCTTGACGTCACCCCTCCTCAGACCAATTATGACAGTCCTCAGCAGGTATCAGGATTGAGACATGCAGATTATTCTGTTGTAATGCAGCACTTCTCCACGACTATATCCCACGTTCTTTTTCACAGTGAATTATTTCAAAATTGACACTGATATTAAAATTGCAAACAACTCTTTATGGCAATCAAGCCATTTTGAACATACTTCTCAAAAATAGCCTAGGCTGACTATTCTTCATTTTAGCTGATGATCTGAACTTAGTCTCTTTTGACGTTAACACCTGCATAAACCAGATTTTCATCTGTTAAACGTCATTAAATAAATGAATGTATTAATCACAAAAGATAGCCTACTTAATTAAAGATAAAATAGTTTGGCTATAAAATGTGATCCTCACGCTGATGCTCTAAATGATAAAAATAAAAAATAAAAAACTTCACTCTGAGAATCTTTGAGGCATTAGTGATTTAACTCAAACTCTTTTCGATAATAAACACGCCCCATTATTAGAAGATAGGCTAATTTCAGCCTATCGCAATTGCGCGCATATAAATTCACTTAGCGGAGTGAATGGGAATCTGCCTGTGTGTGGTCCTAAGTGACTGCTTACAAGAATATAAGTTAAGTCTATCGCACCTCCTGATAAAGACACACATCACATGGTTATATGATTATGCTATAGAGCCTACAAAACATCCCACTCATTAAACAGTAAAATGAGCGCATTAACTGAAATCTAAAATTAAATCGGTGGCTTAAAGTTTAAATAATACCAAACGGTGCCACAGTAACGAAGATCTAACGTTTTACATATAAATTTGATTTAGAAATTCGACTTGAAAAGGAATTGAATGAAAAGAACATTTTTAGCCTACAACACAAACACAGAAACATTTTGTGTCAGTGCATAGGATAAAGTAGGCTAAATGTAATTTTTTAAATGATTAATTTAGCCTATAAAAATAATAAATGAATACATTATTAAATTAATTAGGAGCCCGATTGGATGCCTTCTGAAAAAAACTATATTTTCAAATTACAAATTGCTAGAAATAAAAAACAAAATTGGAAAAGATCCGCTTCAGAATTATTTCGAAAGGATTTTAATTAGTAGGCTATGGTTATAAGGTTGTGGTGCCAAAAAAGTCAACCTCAACGTCAACCTGCGCTTAGACTGTAAACAGTAGAAAGCTAATAAGGGTTTAAACTATAGCCTATACGCCAGAGCTACTGAAGACATTAGGCTTCTCCTCCTTAGTTTTCCCCACCTATAATGACTGCCACTGTTCCATCATAGTTTACAAAGTTGACGAACAAAATAGCCAGGTGCATTTCACATCCAGACGCCTTTTGCCGTTCTCCGTTCTCAGGCGGAGATGAATTTTATTGGTTCAGCGGGTCGCGTGAAAGAGGTGTAGGCCTAAATGAAAACTGTTTAAAAGACAGGGCGCGCGCCCCTCCTTTGAGGAAGATTGTCATGTGACAACACAGAGAGCACTTGAAGAGACACAGAAAAGGGGGACAGACGCTCAGAGACTTAAGCACACACACAGAGAGCTCCAAGTGAGGCCATGAGAGAAGACGTTGAGATTTTAAGTTTTTTTAATGGACAGCATTTCGCAAAATCCTATAAAACAAACGAATGAATTTGCTCAAAACTTTTACAAGAATGGATATAGCTAAGTGAGAGTCACCTGAAGCACCTGCATTTATTAAGATGTCTGACTTTTTACTTCGGATCAGTGTGACATTTTCAACAAACTCGGAGTGTTTTGAAGCTATTCGCCATTGACTCTGTGAACCCAAGGTAGGCTAATTCACTTAGGAAAATGCCTCGTCCTGGAAGAAACACATACAGCGACCAGAAGCCGCCGTATTCGTATATTTCGCTAACCGCAATGGCCATTCAGAGTTGCCCGGAGAAGATGCTCCCTCTCAGCGAAATTTACAAGTTCATCATGGACAGGTTTCCTTATTATCGAGATAACACGCAGCGCTGGCAGAACTCCCTGCGCCACAACCTTTCCTTCAACGACTGCTTCATTAAGATCCCGCGAAGACCGGACCAGCCGGGGAAAGGCAGCTTCTGGGCTCTCCATCCCAGCTGCGGTGACATGTTCGAAAACGGGAGCTTCTTGAGGCGCCGCAAGAGATTCAAAGTGATGATCACCTCCGAGCACCTGCAAAAACCGTCCGACGCGGCGCATTACCTCCAGCAACAAGCCAAACTCAGAATGACAACTTTAGGGACGCATCTACCTCAGATGACCAGCTACAACTTAAGTGTTTCACAACCCTCCACTTTCAAACACCCCTTTGCCATTGAAAATATAATTGCCAGAGATTACAAAATGCCAGGAAGTCTTGCTTTCTCTACCATGCAGTCCATGTCAACGGGTTACCAAATACACAATCAGTTGACCACGGCTTGGCCCCATATGTATAGCAGTAATGTGATAGACGCTGAGTATACTGCCTATGGAGTACCATTCAAATCCCTGAGTCATGGCGGGCAAAGTTTACCGGCGATCCCAGTGCCAATCAAACCCACCCCGGCTCCGGTTCCGTCCATCTCGACGCTGCAGGCGCGCCTTCCAGCCTTCCTCTCCGGCTCTCCACAGTCCCTGAGCCCGACGTCTCCCGGACAGAGCAGCCCTGCCACACCGAGCACGACCTCGCTGCTCCATTCGGCCGCCGTGCACTGTCAAGAGGTCACTTAAAACTTTAAGTGGGACTTGAAACTTTACTTTCTCATTCACCCGACAAAAAGGCAAGCGAGGAAAACTCACAAAACATAGGCTATATCTCTGAAATAAAAAGAAAGTTGACTTGTTTAAATTTTCTCGCAATATAGTGAAATTAAACATTCTGTTAAGTTGAATTATTATAGCTAAATATTTCAATGACATATGTCATTAGGCTACCTCATTATTGAAGTTTAAGAATCTTATTGGAAAATGCACAATGGACAATGAAAATGTCAAAACAGAGCGTAAAGAGTTTAGGAATTACAATATTCTCCAACTTAATTTTGGGCTGCTTACCCATTAAAGCTCATCGACACCTGCAAGTAAAGGAACTGAAAAGGGATTAAGCACAGATGCTGCAGCTTTTCCGTTTGGCAGTGTAGAAAAATAACAATGGAAACACTCTTACAATGCACTTTTGATGTGACGTTACAAATATCGCAAGAGATTGTTCCGTGAACAATGCTCAGTCTAATTTATCAGCTTCGTTGAAAATAGTGAAAGCTGTTGTATATAAGTTTTCTGTATAATGTTGACATGCTCTTATACTATAGCATGCTGCTTTTCACGTATATACACCTGAAATAAATTATAAACTTTGTCATCAAACCTTAACCTGAGACTTGTCATTGTAATTTGTGTAACGGAGTCATACAGAGTAAGAGATTTGAATCAGCAGCAACAACAATAAAATCATCGAACAGTTTTGTGAAATTAAAAGAGACAAAATTCGGAGCTCATGGACCATTTGTTGTGGACAATTGGTTGTCGATTAAAGATGAAAGGGAGGGCTTAAATGCTTTGTAACATTAGTAAGATCGGAGGGGAATTTATTCAATTAAAGAGTGTGGTATAACTTAACTGAAATAAACGGGCCGTAATTGCATTAGCTTATTTTCTCAATCAATACTTGTCGCATAGCAATTTTGAATTCTGTTTTACTGACAGTCTTAATATATATAAAAAATAATAATTTAATTTAAATTAATAGATACAATTTAATAATGTATGAGTTTTTATTTTGGATAACGAAATATCAAGTGGCATTATGAAAAATAGCACAAAAATTTTTTTTTCAGGGGAATATATATATATATATATATATAGGCCTATATATATATATATATTTGTGGAAACTTTATGGTTTGCTAAACTATTGGAACAAGTTAAGGGAAATTGACTTACACCGATATTAATTTAGATTATTACAATTAGATTCATTAGATTTATTTTACTTTATATTTCTAAGTGTGGCTAAATAACATAAATAAATGTATCTATGATGAACTACAAAGTGAGAGACTTGCATGCTTTTTTATACTTTTACTCTTTTATCAATGAAAATAAAAAACAGCTGTATTTTACATTAATACTAGCATTTTAAATTACTGAAATTACTTAATAATATAATTGTTCTGCTGTCTTCCTGCTGCATTTTAATAAACCTTAACTTCAACAACATGCAATCATATTTGTGTATACAGAAAAAGCAAATGAATAACATGGCATAAATGATCTGTGGTCAGTTGCATAAACTGCTTAGACTTGTCTTAAAAGTTTATCATCTATTTCTTTAGAGTGGTCCTATATTTTTAAAATCTGTTACATAAAATTGTAGTTTGGTCTAATTTGAATTGAAAAATTAATAACAATTACGTCTTGTCTTGCTGCTAGTTGGTCAAACTCTTTAAAAAACAGTCTTAGTGGCTATCATTGACACAGATGAAGGTTAGACTAGGTTGTTTGTTCGATACAGTATGTCACATTTCATACACTGGCATCCATTTAATTAATATAATGCATTATAGAGAAACATCCAAGGTAATTAGCATGTGTAATTTATCCATTTATTCATGCATGTGGCCAGTGTCCTGAATAATGAGCCTGCAGTCTTAACCCGGACCAGGAGATGGAATGGACAGGAACCTGTTATTTATAATCACACTAAAACTAATGTAATCCAGTATGACATCAACTCACAAAACTTATTTGGTGAGAATTTTTTTCCAGCTGTAAGCTAAATAGCCTTATTTATTTCTCACTGTGGCATTAATAATTTAGGGCGTGCATATTTATGAGCAAAATACCTGAACATGCTCTGGCAAGGGATGGCAAGGATATTTATATGGTCGTAAATCAACAAGGCTAAGCCAGACTGAAAATCAAAAGCAAATGAACACACACACACTTTGTAACTGTTGCACTCTTTAATAACTGTTTTGAAGAAAAAAATTGTCTGCTTTGCAAAACATATGAACCAATCTTTTTTTTTTTTTACTTTTGAAAATATTGTGAAATGAATAAAAATTGGCTTTGCATTTCTGATCTGGATATTTTATAATTAATAATTGAGGTATCAGTATTTATCCATATAGTTTCCAGGAATCTTTTAAAAATATTATTATTATTTTAAAAAATATGAAAATGAATAGGCCTAAGTATTAAAAAGTACAGCACTTAAGTGAGAAAACAAGCCCTGTTTTGAAATGACAGTTCAAACATCGAGATAAGACAACTCTGCAGACAACACAATGTGTTGTTGTTTGAACAGGAAAAGGTGCCTGATTTCTCTGGATTCTTATACAGGATTCACAGTGCAAGGATATTTGAGCTAACCCGTAATAATCAGCATGGCTGTAGCTGAAAGCAGCAGCAGGTGCAAAGGGAGACTCTCTGCTCGACCCAGCCAAACGCCTGTGTGTGCATGAAATCACTGTGTCAACATTTAATTCATGCTTCTAAGCAGAGACTGTGAGACAAATTACACCACTGGGAGGGACTGCCAATATTAGCTCAAGCAACAAATGTCATCCACTGACCATTGGGCTTCTGACGTAAAGTAAAATACGGTCAAAATGATGTTAAAATATATAGATGCCTTATAAAGTTACTAGAATAAAACGGAATTATTTAACTGAAGTCGACTACCTTATTTCTTGGTCAGCTGATGATCACAAAACTATTTAAAAGAAATTGCTGTGAGTAAACATTCTCAAGTTTTTTGAGTTTTGTCAGCTGTTTGGTCAGCCATAAAACATCACCCAGCAAACACTGGCCAGGACTATTGTGTCCAGTCAATGCACTTCAGGCCTTTCAACATGTTGCCAGGCGACTGGGTCCGTTGACACAGCGATGCTGGTCTGAGTGATCAATCCCCTGCGTGTCTGTGTGTTTGGTGTTGTGAGTGGGCAAAAGCAGTTGCTTTGTCTCACTAAGAGACCTCCAGTGAGAAGAACAGCACGCTTTTGTGTGTGTAAGTTTTTGAATTTACAATACACAATGTAAAAGCGGTTGATGCTCAAGGCCAAAAACACTAAAAAAGTACAATAGTTAAGAGTTTCTGTCTCTTTCAGAGGTACAATCACAATGGGAAAATGAACAATCACCTCAAATGATAGACCTTCATAGCCATCATTTAACATGAAATCGGTTGTACTTTTTGCATCACTCAAAAGTTTGTGATCATTAAGAGTTTTTAGAAGAAATTAACAAGGACAATTTATCAAAATGACAGTAAGACTTTTACATTGTTGCAAAAAAATACACTCTTAAGAAATGTTTCTTGAGCACCAAATCAGAATGATTTCTGAAAGGAGGACTAGAATAATGGCCGCTGAAAATTCAGCTTACAGATAACAGATATTTTATATTTTAATATTTAGAGCTGTGAAACGATTAATCGCGATTAATCGCATCCAAAATAAAAGTTTGTATTTATATAATATATATGTGTGTATAATTATTTTGTATATATAAATACACACATATAAAATGTGTTCTTAATATATCAAATATTTATATTTATGTATAATATAAATTTTGTATAAATATATATAAAGTATATACATAGAAATATTTCTTAAATATGTACATGCATGTGTGTGTATTTATATATACAAAATAATTATACACACTACACACACATATATCATGTAAACACAAACTAAATATTATTTCTTCTTTGAAAAAAAAAAAAAAAATCTTACTGACTCCAAACTATGCTTGTTTTGTTGTAGGGCCTAATAAGAAGAAGCCCTGAAGGAGTTCAGTGTCTGAACACTCAATATTACAAAGTCTGGTTCTGATCTGATAAGCTGGCGCCAATGACCCTCTACCTTACAGTAACAGGACATGACTGACAGTTCCCTAAAGATGACAAGGCCTTAAGGTGCTACTCTTGTGTAATGCTGAAAACACATACCAAGAAACACACAACTTCACTTACTAAGCTCCAGAGGCAACCGCATTAATTGTCAAGGACATTTGTTTTGTTAAATCAAGTTCAATTAGGGAAATATTGTCACAAATTGATCCAATTGGTAAAAAGTAAAATTTTAGGTATGAAACTCTACAAACTAATAATCTGTTGTCCCTTAAAACTCACAATTAGGAGCATAAAATTGCTTTTTATCCGATTTTGGCAAGTATAAACAGGTAGCTAAATATTTGACATAACTACACTTTTTATGACGTCACTTTTTCCTAACAGCCCATTCACACAAATAACCATTTTCACAATAACAATTAAATTATTAACACCCTACCTTAACTGACTCTCTGGGGCGTCTTCAGGTCTCAGGTGTTGTCATGTTTGAAATGTGCGAGTGTAATGACAGGTTTAGCTCGGCTGTTTCCCCTGCAGCCGCTGACTGACAAGTTGATTTAGGCTGAGCAGGAATCTTCCTTGTTTCTCATAAACTAACACCTCTATGACACTTCAAAGGGACAATCGCACCTGAGGTGACAGAGGGCAGCGGGTTCCTGCACAGAGTGAGATGGACAGATAAAGGGTTAGGGTTACGATTTGCTGGGGGTCAGGTGCTGCTTCCAGCTTTGAGTCACATTTTTAAGGAATCCCAGAAGAAACAAAACCATGATGTTTTTTTGTTGTTGTTGTTGTTGTTTTTTTAATACCAAAATCCTCTGTGGTCACTGAAATCTCTAACCTGTATTTAAACATCAGCTTCTAAACTTAAAAATTTTAGACTCAAAATGATTGTAATACAACCTTGCAAGTAACAGACTACAGAATTAAACTAACAAAGGCAGCAAATTACTTACAGGTTTGTAACATTTTCATAAAATATCTTCTCCCAGTGTTGCATTAACAAGAAGGAAGAGTACATTTTCTGCTTGGCTCATAACAATGGCCTTAGTTTCTTTGATCTGTGTTAAGTCCTTCCCAATGTCAGGAACTAATAACTGACCTTTTGTAATTGGAATTAACTTCTCTGTGCTTTGTTCATGTCAACTTTGTTCTATTGCCAATGTATTTACAAAGTCAATGAGAAGATAATTAGTAATGTAGTTTTTTTTTGGAACAAGTATGAGCAGAACTATATCTTCCATTTTTAAGCTGTGCTGAATGTTTGTTTAAAATGGTGTTTAACTTAACACACTAAGGCCGAGCTTAGATTAAGCCAGAATTAGACCTTAGTTCAATTAGGATCTTTAAAGGGATAGTTCACCCAAAAATGAAAATTACCCCATGATTCACCAACATCAAGCCATCGTGTATATGACTTTTTTTCAGACGAATTTAATCAGAGTTATATTAAAAAATGTCCAGGCTCTTCCAAGCTTTATAATGACAGTGAATGAGGTTTTGAGATTTT